AGGCTTCTTTCTCTTGTCAGACCCAATTATAGGATTTCCTCCCTTTTTTCAGTCCTTCTTCCCACATGTAGGGTCCTAATCTTGAAAGGTTTACTTGCAAGTAATAAGAATAGAAACAGAGCTGCATGCTACATATATAATATATTGCATACTATGAGGGATCTCGGGCTCACCCTCCCTTCTCCTGCCTGGGTGGATGGGACCCCTTGAGATCACTTTTTATCTAAAGAATAATAAATTAATAAATTTTATTTTTAACCCGCCCCTCTGCAAGGCAATCGAGGTGGGGTACAAAATTAAAACAAGACACTAGTTAAAACAATTCCCCCCAATCCCTAACCCACCCACCCCATAAAAGTTGAATTAAACTAGTAGAATAATTAAAATAGCAAAATTAATCAAGACAATAATATAAACCCCAGTGATTTGACTTCTCTCTCTTTAGTAATGCACCTGGACATTGCTGGGAATTCCCTGGCAGAGACTCTTCCCTCTCTCTTCCCACATTTGGGGAAAGTCTTGCTGAGCTAAGGCATGTCAAAGAGGCAGTGTGAGAGTGACAAAAGAATTTTAAAGAAAAGCTTTATTCTAAATAAGGATATTCTATAGCAAAGGGAAATTTCTTACATGAAGAACCATCTCCTTCAGACACAAATAGAAATATAAGTTACAGAGTAGATCATTTGTCAAATCAAGAAAAGAATCAAAATATCCTAATGCAAGTGGCAAGTACCTTTTCTTAATCTTACTCATAGACCAGATAGGATTTGTACTCATTGGCATTCATGGGATAGGTGGGAAGACTGTCTGGTTTTGATCAGCCTTTCCAAATTGGAGCCACCACTCCAGGTGTTCCTTTGTTTTCAGCTCCCTTCTCATGGTGCCATTCAAGCCTTTTAGAACCTCTGCCCAAAATCATCATGAATGCTCATGCTTCTGCCCAACTGCCCATCCCATTGGAATACGAGATGATGAACCTCATTAAAAATAAATACATGTATCTCCTCCCATATTTAGCCCTTTGTTATCTGTGAAGAAGGCTCTGATAATGAGAGGGTTCTTCATTATCACATGTATTTCAACCCTAAATTTCCTGTTCCAGTTAACCCTTAGGAACTGGTTCCATTTTTATAACAGCAATATACAAGTCCTGTTTTGACCATATGCACTGTGCTTTTATCCTTTTTAAAAATATGTCTAAAAGGTGTTTTAAACTGTTTTAACTTTGTGCTTTTAACAGATTCATTCATTTGATTATGTAAAATGTTTGGACAATAAGATTATAGCTGTCCTTTCTTTTTGTTATACACCACCTTGGGTTCCATGCTGGGCGAAAGGCTGGATAACAAACAAACAGACAGATATGTGGGGAAGAGCATCTACCAGGCAGCAGGGCCAGCCCCTTCATTTGGAATGGTGGTGAGGAATTGAAAAGATGGAGCTGTCCATACCATACAGCTTGCCTTGTGCCTTCTTGGGCTAGTCAGCTGGCCTGTCTTGAGTCAAATAAAGGATGCTGCTGCGTTGTTAATGTTGAAGTAAGTTTCAGCCACCACTCTCATTGGCCTTTGAGAGGTGCCATTTTAGCTTTTCTATGAGGCAGCAGGATTTCTTGCCACACATACACAGACATAAAACATCAGTATGTAGGCAGAAAATATCTGATATGGCCTTGTAAAGGGTGAATAATTGCTTACACCAAGAACAATGACTTGAGATTGAACTTTCATGGTTAAATACATACAACTTGGGTTGTCTTAATAATCCAGGGGCCCATACATACTAAACAGTCAGAACACCTTGATTCCACTTTTACTCTGTCCCATGGAATTCTGGGATTCGGTAGTTCAGAGAGGCACTATTTATTTAATTTATAGAGGTATCTACTAGAGGTCTCTACCTCAACAAGAATTCTCTACCAGAAATAGAAATGTCCCCTTTTAAATTGTCAATTGCAGGATTCCACAGAATGTTGCCATGGCAGTTAAAGTGGAATCATTGTAGTGTGAAAGGGCCCCAGGGTTTCCTTCAGAGCACCAAAGAGTTTTGGTAGATATGTAGCTTTCAGTAAAATTCCCCTCCCTGCCTCATTTGTTTTGTGTTTTTTTGCTTATGTGTTTCTGCCACTTTTCTTTTTTATTGGACAGACATTTCAAAGATGTATCTATCTATTTCTGGTAAACCCTATCCAATGACACATATATATGAAAGAGTTGTTACTGGATTACATCTACCAGTGAATATATATTTAGCAGAATATATTGTCCTGACATCAAAAATTGCTCTTTCCCTCCCTCCTGCAGAAAGAGTTTGAATAAGGTGCCTACTTGGAAGAGGGCATTTAGAAAGCAGATAAATAATGGGACAGCAACCCTATTAAAATTAGGATATTACTACTGGTGTCATTTTTTTTTTTTGCACAGGGAGAATATATTTTTTGTTTCATTAATGCAGAATACCAAATTGGGTCCTAAAAAATTAGCATCACTCCCCAAGAAGAAGCTTTATTGACATACTTGTTAATAGTTTGTTTGCATGAATAATTCACTATACTATATCTCTATTTTAAATGTATTACAAAGCATATATTAGACAGAGATTGACCTCTACTGTGGTTAGCATGACAGTCTATTATTCCAGAAGGCTCCAGATACATTGACTTTGAAACAAAGCCTTGAGATTCAATTAAGGTTGATACCATATTCATCCAAAGGTAAAAGTCTTGGGTTATCATTGACTTATCTTCATGCACTTGTTTTCTTTCATGGTCTGAATAGGACTGAAATTGTGCACAACTGATTCCTCCCCCCTCAATTCTGGATTCTTTGTTTTGTCCTTTTGCCTCAAAGGCATGTGGGAAATCATTATCAATTGACTCCTCCCTACGCATACCGTAAAAATGTGTAATTTACAGTGGATTATAAGAATACGTTTCTTTATAAAGTCTTCATACAGGTGATATCTTTGCTGTCTCTGTGGTTTTAGAAACCATAAACTTTAAGTAATGGTTTACAATAAATTCGATGATTACAGGAATATATATGAAATCTCTCATTTTCTGCTTGTAAGGGAAGAACAGCAGGAATATTTCTAATGCTGTCAGGATGATTTTCTCTGTCTTCAAGCTGTTCCTGCCTGTGTTTTTTTATCAACAACTGCAAAGATATAACAGAGCCCCCCCCCCATTCCCATCAATGTTCTTTCAGTGTCTTTCCTCATTTTCATGTGCTTTTTGTTTTGCCACTGAGCAGCAATTAGTAATATGACTCCTGTGTGCTTCTATTTTCAATTTGTGCTTCATGAGTGTATTCCTGCTTTCATCCCTGAAGCAGAGGGAAACCATTTGCTGCTGCTGCTGTTTCCAGGAAGAAGTGCCCTCTGAACAGAGAAAGAGCAAGGAATTGACAGCAGGCATCCAGGCTGCTGTATGGCATGAACAAGTATTTTTGAGTTCTCAGCAGCTATTCATAAGAAGTGATGGTTGTAGTGGTGGGGTTAGAAATCTCCACTCTAATTAAAGACAAAATGTAGAAGTCATGGTAAAGGTTAGCAATGATCTCACAAACCCAAGAAAAGACGGATCTGAAGAGAAGAAAAACAGTGATTTGAATAAAGCTTGATTCCTTCAAATGAAACACACAGGACTTTCCCCTTTCTCTCTCACACAATCCTTTTGCATATATATAATATAATGCTCCCTTATATTAATCTGGCCTGCTTTGTTCAGACAAAGAAATAAAGTGGAATCTGTCAGTGCTATGAAGGAATTGAAGAAAAAAGTGAAAATTGAGAAGGCGCATATAAATAAACTGGTTAGGAATATTTTTTACAGGAGTGCAGACTACAGGCTTTTCTTAGTGCATGTGTATAAATATTCTTGGTGAGGGTGAGAATGGAACATAATTCACATGATAATACTTAAAAGCCAGTGTAATATACAGTGTGCAAATGTCATCGCTTAACCTCTGAATGACCCTGAGCCAGTAACTATCTCTCACCTACTCAACATATTGTGTGGCACGGGTTCCATCTTGACATTCATGTTCTCCTTCTCTGGTACAAGGCTGCTACCCATCATGCCCTTTTGGAAAGCCTGGCTCAACTCCTCTAGGTCCATAGCATTCAACTTCAGATATAGCTCCTGCTGTTCTGCTACACTCAGTTCATCCCAAAACTGAAGTAAGTGGCTTTGCCCTGCCGCAGCCAACTGGTGCTGGAGCATACGGATATTGTCGTGTGGTGGATAAAAATGAGACAATGTAAGCAGCTTCTGGGCCCAAATGGGTGTATGGGTATATGTAGAAGCAATGGAAAGACCTACAGCTTCAGAAACTGGGAGAGCTATGAGCAGAAACACAATGGCAGAATAGAGAAGATTCCTGTTAATTGTTCTAGTCTATCAGCTATGCCTTCTTTCCATAATAATTCTATCCTCCCTCCTACCCAGTTTTAGATCTCCTTCCATAGTCAATTACTTTGTGATCATAACTTTGTACTCCTTGAACTTTATAGTTCCTCTGCCCAACAATCTTTAGAATTTTGCAAAGCTTTCAGCTTTTTCAGTGAAATAACCACATTTGTGGGTTTATTGTCTCTGACATTATTTTTATTTGTTTTAGTATACTGTTTGTTGTCATGTTTTGTTTGTAAATAAAATTAAAAAGGACCCCCAAGCCTTCTTATACTTGTACCTCCTGCATTTGCATGGGTGGTACTATTTTGAAAACATAATACAAGAAGCATTCATAGACCCAGCATGAGAAAACAGAGAAGAAAGTGATTGCTACTGATCTTCTACATTTGTTTGTGTACCTATACATCTGTGATGGTGCATCTTTTATATTTGTTTGTATACCTGTGTGTCTGTGTTGGTGCATCCATGTATGTGTCTCTGGAATAGTGTTGATGGTGGGTTCAGGAGTCTGACAGTTCAGTGATCCAATGAGAATTCCTTTTCAGTTCAGTTGTAGACAGATTTACCTGCACATAAAACCCATAGGGCCAGTATGGCGAAATGGTATGAATGTTGGACTACAACTCTGGAGACCAGGGTTCAATTCCCAGCTCAGCCATGAAACCCACTTGGTGACCTTGGACATGTCACATGTTCTCAGACTCAGGGGAAAGCAATGGCAAACCTCCAAAGAACAAATTTTGCCAATAAAACTCCATGATAGGTTCACCTTAGGGTCTCCATAAGTCAGAACAGACTTGAAGGCACACAACAACTCCACAACCCATAGAACCTTATGGGACTGACTTGCAAGAAGAAAGATATAGGATGGTGTTGGAAAACTCACAACAAGTGTGTTTACTGAAAATACTTAGGGCCTTTGTAGACTGCTAGAAATAGTGCAAATTGAGTCCACTTTAACTGTCCTGGCTCAATGCTAGGGAATCATGGGAATTGTATTTTTTTCTGAGACATTGAGCCTTCTCTGTCAGAGAGCTCTGGTGCCACAATAAACTACAGTTCCCATGATTCCCTAGCATTTAGTAGGGCAGTTAAAGTGAACTCAATTTGCACTATTTCTGGCAGTCTGCAAAGGCTGCCATATAGCACTGAATTACTCTCACAATTTCACAAAGCTACAGGAAGTATGACAATTTCTCTGGAATTTATCTTGCAAACCAAATCATACTACAGTTTAGAGTGCTTATGTAACTTAGGAGAAGACAACACAGAAGATGAAGCAGTAACTTTTGCAGTAAGAAGATGATGCAGAGAAATAATTTCTTGCCCTATAATTTTGTTTTTTTTTAAAAAATCTCCCAGGATAACTCACCATGATAGAATTATAAAAATTTAAAGCCAGAAGGGACTTTGAAGGTCATTTAGTCCAGTCCTTCTCTCTGCTCAGTGCTGGAACTAATTTAAACAATAAGCAATGAACTAAATAATAGCAGGAAGATTCTAAACTGCAGAGATAATAAAAACCACTTCAATGGAGTTAGCTAATATTTTAAAAGTCCCAGGGGAAAAAAAGCAAGGGGATAGTAGTCCAGAAATGGGGAACTATAGTCTACAAAATTCTTTTATTGGTCAGTTGGGTGAGATACCCAGTCCATTGGCTGGCAGAGATGATACCCAGGTTTGTGTAGAAAAGATGATTATTTGGTTGCCCACATGCAGTGTTAAGGAGGGCTTCAGTGGTCAGTACTAGTACTTTCAGTGAACTCAGAAACTGAATAGAAGCAGTGAAACTGTTTTAAAATTGTAGATGCTCTTAGTAACTCTGACTTCCAAGAAACTCACCAAAAGATCTTCCATTTCTCTTCAGTTTCTGAGTTCACTTAGAGTACTTGTGCTCGCCTTTGAGCCCTCCATAACATTACACGTGGGCAACCTAACATGTAACACATACATGTACATGTAACATATTGATGTAGTTAACAACACAGTTCTATGCATGTCTGCCTTGAAATAATTTCTGCTTTGTAAATGGGTCGTATTCCCTAGTAGATCTGTTTGAGATTGCGGCCAATGGCCTATGCTTAGTTGTGTCACTGAGCTACTCAAAGGTCTATTGTGCTAGAGGTCACACACTTAACGATTTGAGTGTTTTAATATTGAACCTAGTTTGATTCTATTTTATAGATGTGGCCAGTTTAATTCTATTTTAATAATCACTTTCCCCATGTTTTTTTTACTGTATCACTCTTTTAAACTGTATACCACATTGATTCCCAATTATGAGAGGATACAAATAGATGAAGGTGATGATAATGATGCTATTATTTTGTGCAACTGCATGCATAATAAAAAACTGTCTTGCATAACCTCCAAGAGGGCACAGAGAAAAACTGGCACCACCACCCTTCTTTTCTCATTCATGGTGGTTGCTCTTGAAACAACTGCCACTGATGATGCAGTTTCCGTCATGGGCTTGCCTCTGCCACTATGACTGCCCTCTCCACCACCCTCCAAGCTTTGCCCAAGTACCAACTATTGCTTGACCACCTTGGGCAGTGGCACATGACTGGTCTGGTGATGGCGAGGTACTGCCATTCAGCATGGTCTCTGAAGGCTCAGCTAGGCCAGATCCAGGAAGCAACACCAAGAAGATAGGGCAAAGGTGACAATTCAGCTCCTAGTAAAGGCAGTAGTTTTATGAACACAGGAAATAGCAGTGTCTATTTGGCCCTTAGCAAGGGCAGCCCCTTGTTGGGCAGCAGAGACAACAGTAGTGAAGACAAGAAGGGAATGGTGACTTGGACATTAAGCAATATGGTATTACTAATGCACAGCAGCGATCATGATGATGGGGGCCACCACTTTGTCCTTCTCCTCTTGTGGGATGTGAGGTGAGACAAGAGGGATATGAGGTGAAACCATCCCTCTTGGCTGCATGGTAGTACCATGGGAGAATAACTAATACTGAGCCAAGCAGGTGATGGCAGTTGTGCTGGTGGCAGTAGCAGTAGCAGCAATGGATGAAACCCTGCCACTCCTGCCTTGCTTCATACCCCAAAAGGAGGAAGAGGAGGAAAATAGCCACTAATATCATGGTCAACATTGTGCACCAGCGACTACATGTTTGCTAAGAACCAAGTCACTGTCCTTCTCCTTCTCCTTCTCCTCCTCATCTTTGCCATTTCCTCCATGCTGCAAGTGGTTTGAATGTTGGAGTACAATCTGGAGACCAGGGTTGGATTCCCTGCTTTGCCATGAAACCCATTGATTAACCTGGGGCAAATCACATGCTCTCAGCCTCAGGGGAAGGTAATGACAAACCTCCTCTGAACAAATCTTGCCAAGAAAACTCCATGATAGGGTCACCATAAATCATGTGGTTATTGTCTCTGTATTCAAAGGTAGAATCAGCCCTTAACAACATGTGGTTAATCTTCCTATTTGTGTGATGCTCCCTAAAGTGGAGACTTTTTGTCCTGAAAATGACAGAAAAGGACCGGAACTGATCACTCCTTGGTGGTGTCCTAATAGTAGCTCTTTGCTGAGTGCTTTGCATTGAGCATGCTGAGGAAAGGCCTTGTTACATTTTCCTTCCACATGACTTTCACATAATTTGTTCATGTACTTGTTAGCCTTTCAGAAGTTTTAAAAGTCAGCAGGTAAATAAAATAACCCAAAGACATTTCAGGATTTCTCAGCTGTTTCCACATGGGACACAAAAATGACTTATGAATGGAATTCATAGCCATTACAATCTTGAAAATACAATGAATAATCCTGGTGATTATTCAGTTGTGTATATCTTTTGTCTTTTCAAGATTGCGGCTGACAGACTGGCATCTCTACCAATGTTTTGAGTTGTGGTTTTCATTAATTACTGCACAGAGAGTGCTTTGTACATTTCTATTAAATGTCAGCGGAAAAGGTGTTTAGGCAAGAATGTTGTTGAAATGCTGTCACTGCTACCAATTCATAGCTTTAAAAGTCTTTCTGATTAACAGCCTAATTCTAGAGCTTTCTGTGCCAGCAAATAAATTGTTTAAAATGGGGAAGCAACTGCTCTGGCAGTACAATGTAATAAACCATGATATTATGTTTCTGTTCCAGTATTATTTTGGTGCAGGGAAAGCAGTCTAGAAAGATATGATAGTGCTTATGTTTGTGATTGGACCAATAACTCATTACAACTAATGATGTTGCCTGTAATTACTTATTTTTGAAGCCAAAGAGGGCACAACAGCATTCCTTTCATTAAAAGGCAACAACTGTTAAAATGTCCCCCTCGCTCTCTCTTTTTTTTACAATGAGTAATTCTTAAAATTACTCTTTGTACAATGTCTTTGGCTGATGCTGTGACTTAATGTTGCAATGTAACAGAACACATGTCATTGGGTCCCTCAAGTACTGGTTTGATGGTGCCAACATTGGCTAGTAGGCAAAAGAAGGTATTAGCAATTGTTCATTAGTTTCCTTGTCCCTGTGAGGCTATTGAGGAGTACTGCACTTAGATACAATGCCTAAACCTCTTAGTGCATATCATTCAAGGTATTCTCACAGTCTCTAGATAGTTGCTGTAGCCTGTGCTAGAGAAGCAGCTGAAGCAGGAATTTCTATATGAGACTACAGGGACATGTTTGGCTGCTGGCCTGATGTAAAAGCATGGGAAGTTCCAATACATGCATGTTGAGGCTTCTAACGGTGAAGGATGGCATGATCGATTCTCAGTGTCTTGGTTATAATGGATATGTCTGAGCAGAGCATACTGAGACTGCTTTTAAGCATCTGGTTTAATTGTTTCTATCATGTACTCAGCTTGTGGCATGCAGTTTATCTCCCTGGTTTGATGACATTCACAGAAGAAGGCAACTGTAGCCACAAGCCATTATCTCCATTTATTTTCTTGGGCACAGATTTCATCAGGAGTGCGTCTCCTTTCAGGCTGTTTGCTAGATATTTCATAGGAATTATGATTACTTGCAGGAAGAGGCCATTGTTAATGCCATATGATATTCTTCTTAAAGTAAACATTGTTATGCTAATGCATGTGGAGAAAATGCTACACAGGTTGTTGTGTAGGCACAATTTCACAAGTGGACAAAAATGCACTACAGAATCATCATATTTTTTTTAAAGAAAAAGTTTGGAGCATACAGAGCCTTAATATGCAAAGGGATGTTGCAGCACCTTTGAGATTAAGGAGTACGGAAGAAGTTGTAACATTAGTTTTTGTAGATTGTCTATGAAAGCTCATGCTATAATATCTTTCACTCAGCCTCAAAGGTGCTGCAACAGAATAACATGGCTATATCTCTGAATACAAAGCCTTAGCATGAGTACAAGTGGATGAGCAGGATAGGGTTGCCATAATGCCTGGTTCATCAGATTGTATCTGGAATCTTGGCATGTCAACAATCTCAGATAAGGGTTGAGATATGGAGCAAAATGAGTAGGCAGTATTCTATCCAGAGTTCAGGGGATGATGGAGCAATTTATCCTGTTGCTCCCCTTCATCTGGTTCCAGGAGAGAGTGAGGCAGGGGTAGAGGGAGCGGAAGAGGGAGAGGGAAAGGAAGAGAGTGAAAAAGAGAGAGGAGGAAAAGAAGGAGGAAGAAAATAAGGAAGAGGATGCATTGTTCATTTGTTTTTCACATAAACAGCT